GCCGCTTTTTAAACCTACAAAATGGCGATGCCCTCCGGACTGGCAAAAGTCCACAGCTCAGCCCGCCTTTGTCTTCACTTTCTCCGTTTGTTCCCCAGTCACTGTGCACAGTCCATGCAGTCCCTGGTCAGCAGTGTGATTTTTAGGTTAATTCTTAGATGCTACCAGCAGTCGGGAATCTCCGAGCCGCCTGTACTGTCAGGGTCACTCAGTTCGCTGTCAGACGGCAGCTCCGTATGTCTCCTTTTTTTTTTTGGTATTTTCACGCAAATTCTTCTGCTAGTTAGGGTTTAGTCCAATTCTGTATCCTTCCCTTCAAGGCTCAGGGGTCCAAGATTATCTTCTGTGTCTGTGTTAATTGGTTTCCCTTTTCTTTGTTGAAGAGGGTCTTTGCAATCCTTCTGCCTAGTCCGCCATCTTGCCAGAAGCCCGACCCCATGCCCTTTTTTGCAACGACTTGACACTTTTCCCATCAAGAAGTAGGGTCTATATTCCCTCCCCTTGAATAATTGTGGCAGAAGTGATGCTGTGTGACTTCCAGAACTAGCTTCTAAGAGGCAAGACAGCTTCTGCCTGGTTCATTTGGGACATTAGTTCTTGGACCCCAGTTACCACACTGGGGCAGGGGGTGGAGTGGAGTGGCGACAATCCAAGTACCTAGGTGGGAAGATCACATATAGATGTTCCAGGCAATAGCTACAACTGAGGTCTTAGCCAACAGCTAGTGTCAACTACCAGACATATGAGTTAGCAGGCGTCAGACAATCTCTGACCCATGTTGCCAAGCTCCAAGTCTTTCCAGGAGAGGTCCCAGACATTGTGAAGCAGAGATAAACAATCTTAGCAATCCCCGTCCTGAATTTCCAGCCCACAGAACGCGTAGCTATGGTAAAAAGGTTGTTGCTTTATGCCATAGTTTGGGGTGGTTTGTTATCAGTAATGGTAATTCAAACAAAAAGTAAAAAGAGCAGAACAAAGATGGAATCCACATTTTTCCAGGACATATTCTAAAGTTTACAATAGTAACTCAACATTTCTCTAGTTCATTCCTGATAAGCAAAATTTCCAACTCCAGTACACTTTTAAGTGCACTTTGAAGTCACTGAGATTTTAGAGATTGTTGCATATAACCTAACGGACTATTAAGTATCACTTTGTCTTGCTCACGACAATATCTCCAGTACCTGGCACAGTGTGTAACACAGAGCTGCATCTCAGTAACTATATGTTGAATGGCTATGGTCCAGAGTTTGGGATTACTGTGGTTTCACTACATAGGTAACTTTTATCCAGGATCATGGATGAAGCAGCCCTCCACACTCGTAAAGCTTCTTCTGGAGTGCATTATACATTTCCTTGCTTTAACGGAGGAGGGGCAGCTGTCTATCAAGGAGCTTGTAGAGGAGGATGATGCAGTGCAAATACCACTGGGGAAATCAGTGTAAGATTGGTGAACTATATCAATGTCAGTGTCTGGAAGTGATAAGCTAGTTTTATAAAATGTTACCATTGGGGAAACTAGGCAAAGGGTACAAGGAGTTTCTCCATAGTACTTATTATAACTGCGTATGAATCCATCATTATCAATAAAAATTTCAATTAAAAAAAAGATCAGAATGCTTACTACTTGTCATTACATGTCTGTTTCATAGTTGAAGGAATTTAGGTTTACAGTGGTTGGTAAATAACCTAAGATTATAGGGCTAGTAAGTAGTTAGGCTGAGATTCAAATGTAGGTCTGTTCAACAACAAAGCCCATGAACTTAATCACAAAGCTATTCTAGTTAATAACTCAGAATGTAATGTGAGTGACTTAAGGACCCAAATAATTGATTACAGAAGTGAAAAAAAAAACACAAAAAAACAGTAACTGTATCACTTCAAAAGGTAAGCAAGTTTGTGCTTGCTATGAATATGATCTAAATTTAAAAAAGGTTTTGCTGTACAGTGCGTTGTCAGGAACTAGGGAATAAAGCATAGTATCAAGACTATGGAAGGAACCCTGCTGGTGCAATGGTTAAGTGCTTGGCTGCTAACCAAAAGGTGAGTGGTTCAAACCTATCCATGGGAGAAAAGACCTGGCAATCTGCTCCTATAAAGATTAAAGCCTAGGAAACCCTATGGGAAGTTTTACTCTGTCTTACAGGGTTCTATAAATCTGAATCAACTCAGCAGCACTTAACAGTAATAACAACATTAAGACTTGTGTAGTGCCTAAGGCACTTGACTGTTAACCAGAAGGCTGGCAGTTCAAACCCACCAGCCACTCCTTGGAAGGAAGGTTGAGCAATCTACTTCTGTAGTGATACCGCCTCAGAAACTCAAGAGGGGTAGCTATGAGTCGAGTCTGACTCGGTGGCACGTAACAACAACAAATAAGTAAAAGACATTTTATCCTTATGTTCCTAAAAACAAGCAGTCAGTTTTTGTCTAATAATTGTACAACTGAATTTTAAGGTCATTGACAGAAATCAAACACCAAAAGATACCCATGGCTGCTTGGTAATGTCAATAAAATAAAAATATCCTAAACAGAGTTGCAGCAAAATAATTTTATTTCCTAACACATGGTACACATAACATTCAATGTGCTTATTATCTTACACATCTATTCATAAATGACTACTAAGTTTTCCAAATTACAACAACTGTTTTGATACATAAGCATCTACTAAGTTAGCTGAGAAATGAAAAATGTCTTTAAACGGACAACATTCTCAATATATGTGATGGGTCAGAACAGAACTTGCTTTAGATTAGTTATATCAACTTAAAGCTTTGAAAAACTACTATTTATGCATCTAAGACTTCCAGATGAAAAGAATGGAGCAACATCAGCTTGTATTCCAGAGAAATTTCATTAGTTTTTCTGGTGATGGAACCATTTATCCACTGTATTCAGAGAAAAGAAAAACAAATTAGAATTCCTGACAGGAATCAAAATTACTCCCAATACGTAACAATCAATTAAGCAATAAAAATGTACTTGCTTTAATGGATCCTAATACAGATGACTTTAATATATGCACACATACACACAAAGTTTCTCTGTGGCAAAAAACAGGTCATTTGTCATAGTGTTTTCCTTTGGGCTCTCCTATTCTTGATGCAAATCCTACAGAAGTGTGCTTTTCAAACTTGTTTTTTAAGTGGTAGAAACTTTTTGCGTAGAAGAACCTTACAGAGAATTCTAACACATAAAAGAAGAAACAGAAAGGGAAGCAGCAGTGTCAAATGGGGATGCAAAGGCCAGCCCACTCAGAGGCCCCCTACAGCATCACCAGGCACCTACAGGAACTCAGAGTGATACAGCCGGTTGAAGTTCGAAAACTGTTCTGATAGAGGGTGGCAATAACATTGGTGTGTAGCAGCCTCTCACACACACTATGAACTCCAGCAAGTGTTCTCTTCTCCCCTTCCTTCCCTCTGCATATCATATGTATGTGGTATGCAGGTATATGTATGCATGTATGTATGTGTGGGTGTTTTTACCCACACATACACAATTTGTCATGTCATTTTACTGAAATGTAGATCTTACCATCCGTTGGTATTGTGCAGGCAGATTCACAAGGTGGTGGTAACTAAAATAAAATATGAAAATGTATTAGTCTAATCCCAGAGGAAAATAAGCTAAAAAGTATACAGACACGAAAATTAAAAAGAATCTGAAAAGAATATGATACCAATTTTCAAGCTCTATTTTTTTTTCTTTAAAAGAATTTATTAATTCTTTTATTAATTCAGAAACGTTTGCAGCAGTATATTGACAGAGAACTTCCAGAGGTGCAAGCCGGATTCAGAAGAGGACATGGAACAAGGGATATCATAGCTGTTGTCAGATGGATCTTGGCTCAAGGCAAAGAATACCAGAAAGAGGTTTACTTGTGTTTTATTGACTATGCAAAGGCATTTGATTGTGTGGATCATGACAAATTATGGATAACATTGAGAAGAATGGGAATTCCTGAGCACTTGATTGTACTCATGAGGAATCTGTACCTTGACCAGGAGGCTGTCGTTCGAACAGAACAAGGGGACACTACATGGTTTAAAATCAAGAAGGGAGTGTGTCAGGGTTATATCCTTTCTCCACACTTATTCAATCTATATGCTGAGCAAATAATCCGAGAAGCTGGACTATATGAAGAAAAACGTGGTATCAGGATTGGAGGAAGAATCATTAACAACCTAAGATATGCAGACGATACAACTTTGCTTGCTGAAAGTGAGGATGACTTAAGGCACCTACTGATGAAGGTTGAAGAATACAATCTGCAGTATGGATTACATCTCAATATAAAGAAAACAAAAATCCTCACAACTGGACCAATGAGCAGCATCACAATAAATGGAGAGAAGATTGAGGTTGTCAAAGAATTCACGTTGCTTGGTTCTACAATCGATGCCAACAGAAGCAGCAGTCAGGACATTAGACGACGTGTAGCACTGGGGAAGTCAACTGCGAAGGAACTGTTTCAAGTGCTGAGGAGCAAGGATATCTCCTTGAGGACTAAGGTGCGCCTGACACAAGCCATGATATTTCCAATCGCCTCGTATGCATGTGAGAGCTGGACAATGAATAAGGAAGACCGAAGAAGAGTTGATGCTTTTGAGTTGTGGTGCTGGTGGAGAATGCTGAAAGTACCATGGACTGCTAAAAGAACTAACAGATCTGTCCTGGAGGAAGTGCAGCCAGAATGCTCCTTGGAAGCAAGAATGGCCAGACTTCATCTCACCTATTTTGGTCATGTTGTAAGAAGGGACCATTCCCTGGAGAAGGATGTCATGCTTGGTAGGGTGGAAGGTCGACGAAAGAGGAGGAGGCCTTCAACGAGATGGATTGACACGGTGGCTGCGATGATGGGCTCAAGTATAGCAGGGTTTGTGGGGCTGGCGCGGGATCGGGCAGTGTTTCGTTCTGCTGTGCATGGGGTCGCTATGAGTCAGAAACGACTCGACGGCACTTAACAACAACAACAACCACACTTTTTTGTCTTTAGAAGAATTTATAATATATAGGAACTATACAAGGTTTGTTCCACTGCTAAGAGAAACTGACAAAGCCTCCTGGCTTTTAATGACACACAGGAGAATAAGTACTAAAAATGAAGGGTTTTTAAAGAAACAAAGAAAAGCAACTTTATGCATATATAACTACCTTGAATTATGAATATATATAATCATTAAATATGCAAAAAATTATTTTTCCTCTTTCTTAAAAAAATACACACACACACACACACACACACACACACATATATATATATATTCAGGGAGCTCTGGTGGCGTAGTGCCTAAGGCATTTGACTGCTACCAGAAGGCTGATGGTTCAAACCCACCAGGCACTCCTTGGAAGGAAAACTGGGCAATCTACTTTCATAGGGATACCTCCTCGGAAACCCAAGGAGGGGTCGGCATGAGTCATAAAGGTGCTCTGGTGGTGCAGTGGCTAAGGCATTTGGTTGCTAACCAAAAGGTCAGCAATTCAAACCCACCAGCCACTCCATGGAAGAGAGAAGAGGCAGTCTGTTTCCATAAAGATTTATAGCCTTTGGAACCCTATGGGACAGCTTTTCTCTGTCCTAAAGGGTTGCTATGAGTTGGAATCGACTTAATGACAGTGAGCTTATATATACATAAATTTGAAATGTGAACCAAATGTTCTCATAGAGAAGTTAAGAGAGCTGACCACTGGCTGACCTAACCAATGGCTTCTTATTTTTCTTATTCATCACAATGTTAAGTGTTAGGATTCACACATAAAGATAAAACTAAATATAAGGGTTTTATTGTTAAATTGTCCTTTTTCCTTCTACCCTCTCATATATAAGGCAGTGAAAGGTGAGTTTTCATTTTCTTTAGTTTTCTTATTGAATATTATAAATGAGAATAATTTTGGCTAACCTAAATCAGATCATTAGAAATAGTAACAAACCAAATTATTTCTTTGATGTATGGTTTATTATATCACAAGAAATTTTTTCTAGTGAGATATTATAAACCACATCTACAGTGGACCAAAAATGTGGTAAGTTCCGCGGTCCTTGCTATAATCAGTGCAAGTAAATTCCCATTCATTCTTTTTCAGAAAATGGCTTACACAAGGTACACAGACGCTTGGGTTACTCAGTACATTCTGGAATCACTCCAATTTTTACAAATTGTACTACATTGCTATCCGTCCAACTTATGGCTGACTACAACCACTCCTCAGCTTCTCCCCTGAAATGTCAAAATTTCAAGACTTCACACAGTTATAGGCATCTAGGAAGAATTCAAATACTTGCTAAAAGAAATACTTTTCTCCATACTTAGTACACTTTTTCAGCCATCAGGTATTTTTTTAAAAAGGAAACTTTTACGTACAGCATCCACAATGGCTTTGGCAGCATCGGGGTCACACTTGAAGGGGCTCTGAGACACTGTTGTATTCATGCTGTTCAATAAAACAAATGGAGTCAATCATGAGTCACAATAACAAAAAAACAATTCTCTTAAGAATTTTCTCCAAGGATGGTTCAACATTAGAAAAACAATCAATGTCATCCATCACATAAATAAAACAAAGGAGAAGAACCACATGATCATATCAAT